CTAAAGTTACATAAGAGCCTGTCTAGTTCCACTACATGATGTTTGGTATCCTTAAATCAATTTCATTCTTTTTTATAAGATAATCAATTTCATTTTTGTTTATGCAGCAATGCAAGTGATGCCTTGGACAAGTTAAGGTATCTAAGTGTTACTGATCCTCAGCTTTTAAAGGAAGCTGTTGATCTTGACATTCGTATCCAAACTGACAAAGACAATGGGATAATAACAATTACGTAAGTATATGAGCTGTTAGATGCTTTGGTTGTGGATTTGTTTTTAGCAATACACAATTTCTTACTTTGTTTCCTATAGTGACTCCGGCATTGGTATGACACGACAAGAACTTGTTGATTTGGAACAATTGCTCCGAGTGGGACTGCTAAGTTCTTGAAGGCTGTGAAGGTCTAATAATTAAACTAACATTTTATTTTCCTAATTCTAGGGCCAAGTGTTGTGCATTAACTAAATGTACAATTTTGCAGGAAAGTAAAGATGCTGGTACGGACAACAACTTGATTGGTCAGTTTGGTGTTGGCTTCTATTCTGCGTTTTTGGTTTCTGATAAGGTATTAATTACTTGTCATTTTAGCATGTGCATTCAGAAGTTCCCGTAGTGGCAATTGCTCATTTAATTTTATTGTAATTGTAGGTAGTCGTCTCAACAAAGAGTCCGAAATCTGAAAAACAATATGTGGGGCAAGGAGAGGCAAATGCTAGCACCTATACTATTCGAGAGGAGACAAACCCAGAGAATCTAATTCCTCGAGGAACACGCCTTACATTGTATCTTAAGGTATCTTAAGTAACTAAGAATATTTAGTACCTTTGTTTTTTGTAGTATCCTGAACTGATCTCTAGTTCTTATTGTCTGTGTGCTTTCAGCGTGATTACAAAGGTTTTGCCCATCCAGAAAGGATTCAAAAGCTTGTGAAGAATTATTCCCAGTTTGTTTCTTTCCCAATTTACACATGGCAGGAGAAGGGAATCACTAAAGAGGTCTTTCAACATGATATCAACATTTTCATTTTTCTTGACAGAAGGCATGAAGCCATCAACTAGTTTTTGGGGTAACTAACCTGTTACGCTTTGCTTATCACAGGTTGAAGTTTATGAGAACCCATTTGAAGCAAAAGAGGCTAATCAAGATGAAAATATTGAGGTTGTTACCTTCATGTAGTTTTGTCATTATCTACAGGCTCATTAGCAACGTACATGTGAGATTTTTTTTTACATGTGATATATTTTTTTTACTTTAACAGAAGAAGAAGAAAACAAAAAAAGGTCGTTGAGAAGTACTGGGATTGGGAGCTTACAAATGAGACTCAACCAATTTGGGTGAGTTGTTAAGTTTCGGTTGTGTATTTCTAAGATGTTTTATTTGTGATACTATCACTATCTCCATCTTTACAGCTTCGTAATCCTAAGGAGGTGACAACAGAGGAATACAATGAGTTCTACTAGAAGACTTTTAATGAATACTCGGATCCATTAGCATCATCACACTTTACAACTGAGGTAATGACATTGTTTAATGGGAAATGGGAAGTCATTTAAATCAACTTCAAAATCTTTATGCACTCTCTTTTTAATTATTGTGTTAAGCAGAACTGGATTGTGGCTTTAATGTCCTTCAAAGATGATGATACTGTGGAAAATATAAGCAATTTTAACATTGTTCTTACATCACTCTTGCAGTGCTTGTTATTTCACTTTTATAAAAAGTTAATAAACATTGGATTTGCAGGGTGAAGTGGAGTTTCGTTCTGTACTATATGTCCCAGCCATTTCTCCTATGGGAAAGGATGACCCAAGACAAAGAATATAAGACTTTATGTTAAAAGAGTCTTCATTTCAGATGATTTTGATGGTGAATTGGTAACCAAATGTCTTTCCTTTACACATTAGTGGAATATACTTGATTCAAATGTAATCTGACATGTGCACACCTGTATTATTTTGGTTGAATAGTTCCCTCGATATCTAAGCTTTGTCAAGGGTGTTGTGGATTCAAATGACCTCCCACTCAATGTCTCACGTGAGATTCTCCAAGAAAGTCGCATTGTACGGCCTAAATTTTCCCAGAATTCTTGTTAGATACTGAAAAAATTGCTTTTCTTGGTTAACATTTTTCTAACTGTAACTTTATGTTTTCTTGAAGGTCCGAATAATGAAGAAACGTCTGGTTCGAAAAACATTCGACATGATTCAGGGAATATCAATGAGTGAAAATAAAGGAGTATGCATTACAGTTTCCCTTTTCTCCTCCTCATTTTCCTCCTTTTCTTCCTCCACCTCTTATGTGACTTTGGAAGTATATTTACTGTAAAAAGAGACTTAAATGTTTCACGGCTAGTAGGGAATTTACTTTTTTTTTTTAAAATTGTGTGCTAATACGAACTGATCAGTGTGTTCTGCTATTATGCTTTAGTGTGCTAAAATTTGTTTGCATTGCAGGACTATGATACATTTTGGGAGAATTATGGAAAACATCTGAAATTGGGATGCATAGAGGATCGTGAAAATCACAAGCGCCTTGCACCTTTGCTCAGATCCTTCTCTTCCCAAAGTGAAGATGAGATGATAACTTTGGATGAGTATGTTGAGAACATGAAACCTGAGCAGAAGGATATCTATTACATTGCCACTGACAGTATGAACAGTGCTCGGAATGCACCTTTCCTGGAGAGACTTCTCGAGAAGGATCTTCAAGTATATCTCTTTCTTCATTTAATATTGAAGTCCACACTGCTAAATTTATCATGCTTCATTCTCAATGGTACTTTTTTTGCGTGCCATCTTCTAGGTGCTTTACTTGGTAGACCCCATTGATGAAGTTGCCATTCAAAGTCTGAAATCTTACAAGGAGAAGAATTTTGTAGACATTAGCAAAGAAGATTTGGATATAGGTTAGTCTGCGGGTTCTTATTCTCATGAAGTTTTACGTTTATCATTATTGGCTGACTAGAGCTTTCATTCTTGCTTGTACCAGCTTACTCTTAATTACTTGGCAGTTAGAACGATTGTAAGGCTGATGTTAATCATGATTTATCCATATTTTTAATATTTATGTTTGTCTCAATTATGTAGGCGATAAGAATGAGGAAAAGGATGAATTAACCGAAGAGGAATTTAGCAAAACTTGTGATTGGATCAAGAAACGTTTGGGTGAAAAAGTTGCCAATGTTAATATTTCAAACCGTCTGAGTTCATCACCATGTGTTTTGGTATCAGGGAAGTTTGGTTGGTCTGCCAACATGGAGAGGTGAATAACTGAATATACTTATGTTTGCTCTGCTTTCTTTAAAAGTTGGCATCGGTTAACATGAATAAGATTCTTTTGCAGACTCATGAAGGCACAAACTGTTGGTGATACCTCCACTTTGGAGTTCATGAAGGGTAGAAGGGTGTTTGAGATCAACCCTGACCATCCAATCATTAGAGAACTGAATGTACGGTGATGAACATTAAACTTAATTACTACTCCATTCATTATCTTTTTATCGAACAAGTTATACTCTCTGCAGGCTGCATTCAAGAGTAACCCCGATGATGAAGATGCCTTGAGAGCTATAGATCTTCTGTATGATGCGGCACTTGTTTCTAGTGGTTACACTAAGATTTTTCTCATTTTCTTCTCTGACAAGAATATCATATTGCATCAGTTTAGGACATAGTTTTAAAATTTAAGATATTTCATTCATACCCTGTCTTTTTATGTATGTTTAAATATCTGGAAGATTTTAACTCGTTGATCATCAGAAACAAGCCACTCTTAATTGTGAATATGCTGATACTCCTCATATTACTATAGTGTTGTTATAATCATCTTGATGTCATTATGCAGCCTAACAATCCAGCGCATCTAAGTGGTAAGATATACGAGATGATGGGAATGGCTATTTCGGGTAAATGGTCAACTTTTGACGGCCAGCACTCAGCATCACAGACTCCCCAAGCAGACACATTGGAAGCTGAGGTGGATGAGCCGGTCCACGCTGGTGGTAAAAAAATGAAAACTGCAGGCTTTGTTTTGAAGTTGGCTCCGTTTGCACATACCATATGTGGAGCAAATATTTTAGGTGTTTCTCAGGAGGTACCAGAGATGTAATGCCTAGGGTTTTTTTTTTTTTTTTGCAAAGATGGAATATGGTGATAAAGTTATGCCATTGAGAGCAGTAGAGTAGAACTGGTTGAACAAATTGCGAACCTTTATGCTTATTTTTCGCTAATAGAACCTTAAATGAGTTGTTGGTTAATGTATGTATTATCATGAGAACGCTCCATTTGCTTTCTAACTTTGGATGAGTACAGTTGATTATTCACTTCATGGGAACTTATTGCTTGGGGTTCAAGGAACTAAGCTGTACCTTGTTAGCATGTAATCTAACATCCCATCACATCAATGTGAATTTTGTCCCTATACGTACATACACCGTATAAGTGCATTTTTCATCGAAATACAACGGTTAAATGCAAATAAGGTACAAATTATGCCATATCAAAGTAAACAAAAAAATAAAATTAAATATCGGGGATTGAGATGTGGCGGCAGAAAGTGAGCAAAAACGTATGGAATCACAATCCAAGGCACCTCATTTTCAGAAGCCGTGCCGTCTTAGTTGTTGGCACACGCTATCAAAGCTCTCGTAACTTCACCCGCACTTCATCTCCCTACTTTCCAATTTCACCCCATTCTTTAATCTCTTTTATTTACGTTCTTCTACACCATTCATCCCAAGGTTAAATCTCACATGGACAAACGAATAAGAAAAACGGAGAGGCTTATATGACAAGTCAAGGAACTAGAAAAACTGCACAATACTCTGTTGGCGAAGGTACAAGAATTCAAACTTCTCATCACCCGAGGAACGTTTTTGATGCCTTAAAATTTGGATTTTGAGAGCTGCACTCGTGTGCATCATCTCCCTTTGACCGCTTTAAACCACCATTGAACTATATGTTCCATTAAAGAAAGCAACTTGATAAAACCCGCTTCACGTACTTTCCATCTTCCAGTGTTTTTATGGATTCTAAAATCTTCTTTATATGGTACCTTTTTACTTCGATTCTCGGGTCGGATCAGAATAATTTATTAGTGTAGGTTGAAGGAGATAAAATGGCAGTGAGAAGTGCAGTGCATGTTTGTTGTTTTTGCAGTGATATTTAACTCGGTTGGTTTTCAAAGTTCTGATCTTTTTTCTTTATGAACACGATAATGGAAGTTTCAAGTTCGAAAGATAGTTCAGTAGCTTCAAGTCCTTTCTCTTCACCCAATGTCAGTGCTCTGCTGAAAATTAAGGTTATTTCATGGTAAATACATAAATACCTTTCTAATTCTATGTTATTCATACCTTTACAGTCCAGTTCCTAAGATTTTGGTCATTTCAGGTGCCAAGAAACTGGACTTCCTGTCTCCATTCGAGTTCGAGTAGGCGAAAGGACCTTCGGCCTGCATAAGGTATGGCGATAAAAAGTAGATGAAATCAAATCCAGTTAGTTTCTGTAAAACTTGCATTGATCTTGTTTTCCTTGTACGCTGCCAGCATCCATTGTTTTCAAAGAGTGGATACTTTCAGAAGAGATTGACCGAATCGAATGAGCTGGAGTTGCCACAAGATTTTCCTGGGGGACCCCTGACATTCGAGATGATTACGCTGTTTATCTATGGCTCCACCACATTGGTTGACCCTTTCAACGTGGCTGCCCTTCGGTGTGCAGCCGAATTTCTCGAGATGACCGAAGAGTACTGCACTGGCAACCTCTGCCAGCGGTTCGATCTCTATTTGAATCAAGTGGTGTTGCAGAGTTGGGATGACACGCTGATCGTTCTCCAGAAATGCCAAGCATTGCTCCCCTGGTCCGAGGACTTCCTGATCGTGAGCCGGTGCATCGAATCCTTAGCCTTCATGTGCTGCATGGAGATTCTGGATCCGGAGAGGAGAAGGGACAAACCAGTTGTGACATTAGAGGCATTGGCGGGTGAGGCTTGGAGCAGTGAAACAGTGAAAGCAATAGCAAGCAAGGACTTATGGATCAAGGATCTCATAGCTCTACCATATGGATTCTTCAAAAGGATAATTGGTTCCTTAAGAAGGCAAGGAATGAAAGAGAAATACGTGACACCCATCATCGTTTTCTATGCAAATAAATGGCTTCTCTCCAAGAAAACACAACAATTCTGGGAAAATTCAGGTGAGGAAACTGATGACAGTGACTCGGACAACAAGGGTTCTTCCATTTTACAAGGGATTCTTGAATTACTCCCCATTGGTGAAAAACCCAGTAGGTCCATTCCTGTTGGATTTTACTTTGCAATTCTTTCTAGATCCTTAGAATTTGGTTTAACAAGTGAGAGACTAGTGAAATTGCAAGACCAGATTGCAAGTATGTTACAGTTTTCCCAGGTGGAAGATTTTATCTTTCCACAGGTTAGAACAGGGTCCATTTCATCAAGCAAGGAACTGGCCATTATGAAGAACATTTTCTCAACTTTTGCATCGTTTAACATGGAGACCAACCCTTCTCCTTCAGCAAGTAACTCCATTGTTGCAGAGTTATGGGACACATACCTTTCCCGGGTAGCTTCTGATCCACAAATGGGGCCTAAGATGTTCATTGAACTCGTCGAGTTATTACCGATATCTTATCGGCAGACACATGATCAGCTTTATAGAGCTACGGATAGCTTCCTACAGGTAAGTTTTCGATAACTTATCGCCATCCTCGAAACGTTTTCATGTATTCGTGTCGTGTTTAACTTTGAACTGAACCTCGGTCCACCTATTGGTGATCAGGCGCACAGAGGTATAACACAGGAGGAGAAAGGATCAGTCTGCAAATACCTCAACTGCCAGAAACTTTCACAAGCGGCATGCATTGAAGCGGTTCAAAATGAGCTGATGCCACTGCGTTTGATTGTCCAAGCTCTTTTTGTTCAACAACTAAACACCCACCAAGCGTTTAAAGAATGCTCGGACTCGTTTAGATTCACCCGTCAATTCTCCGGGAGCCTGTCGAGCCCGAGATGTCCGAACTCAAGAACCCTGAACCTTGAAGAAAGTCCGTACAACGACGCCGGAGAGTCGACAAACAGCAAACCATTGAGCTTGCTCCTACAAAATGACCTTCCAACAATAGAGACAAACTACGAATCAACGAGCTTTAGAGTTCAGAACCTCGAACAAGAGCTCATGGCGTTGAAAAAGACCCTTGAATGGCATGAAATGTCAAAGAAAACAGATTCGAAACAGAACAAATCGCAATGTACGAAACCATATGGTTTAGAAAGAAGGTCAGGAAGCAAGAGGAAGAACCCTCTGGGGGAAGTAACGGGTTGCATAGGTTCTGTAAATTTTGCTTCACAAAGAAAGTATGCCAGTAGGCTTATTAAGATCTTTCGTAGATTGTCATTGTTTGGAATTAGAAAATCAAAGAGAAAGACAGGAACTACTAAGTCATTCTAGCAGGTAAAATGTTATTTGAGCCACCATCTCTTTATGAAGTTAAGCTTTGGTTGCAAACCCTGACATCATGTATATATACATTAGTATTCTACAATACCATACGAAATTTAAATAAAAATAGAGTGAATACATACAATATAAGAATACATTATCTGTACATATACAAAACTCCAGTGTATAACCAGTAGATTATCCATAACCAAAACCCAAAAAAGAACAGTAAGCTGTAATAACAAATGTGGGTCATCTAAAACACTCATAAGCACATGGTGTAATAGAATAAGACTGACCAAAATAAAGAATTTTATTACACGCGCTGCCCCATGGCAGTGGCGCCATATCCATGTCCATTGGCTCCATTCATGGTGTGAGCAGGGTGCTTATTCATCTTCTTCCTCCTGATAACAACGTACCAAGTGAAAGCTTCCAACAATGTGGCCAACACTCCCAAGAATATGAGAATCCCAATGTAAATTCTCTCCCATTTGTCATCTGGATTAAGGATGTCGAAACCCTCGAAGATGTTGACGATGCTGAGGATGATGACACTGTAGCCGATCGAGTGGTGGTAGATGTTCCAATACAATCTGTATTTGTGATCCTTGTTTGGCCTCAGAAGCAAAGCAAACACCTGTCAATGAGTATTACAATTAAGAGTCATTAATAATTTCAGGGTTGGAGTAACCTTGAAGAAAAAGTCTCATTTGGTGTACTTATTCCTGATAGCAACTATATACTCGGAATAAGTGTTGGATACGGTATGGACTATGGATATGCATACGAGGAGAATAGATTACCTGAAGAGTTCCGAAACAGAAGAGGATAATGCCTATGGTCCTATGGGGATTGTGAGTGATTCCGGGGGAGTCACTGCCGAGCTTAATACCGGTCGCCCAACCGGCCACGCCGATGACATAGGCCGAAGATTGGCAAGCAACGTGGAGATAAAACCATGCAGGGTCTGCAGATTTGAACACCTTCATGTACCTAGCCGTTATGACTCCCAACGGCATCAATATTCCCCAGCTGACAGTGTTCAGTACTCCATGAACCTGGAAAATTCATGCAGCCCAAGTTTAGAAACATGGAAATGGGAACGAATCATTTTTGTGTTGGAATAAACTTACGTTTCTTCTTCTTGTTCTGGAACCAGCTGATGAACTCCCTCCGGATTGTCCCGTAAGGAAATTGATGCTTCCAGCCGATTGAACGTTGGCACCGGTAGTGGAATGGGGCTGTATTTGGTCGTTACTCACTCGACCTTCCTGCCAAACCTGGCTGGTAGACAACAAGTTTTGGGAGACTCTCAAAACGGAAAATATCGTCATTTCGTTATTCTCGAACGTCGCCGAAAGACTTTGAACCGGGAAGCTCAATTCCATCGGTTGCATGGAAGGGCCCAAGCTATCGATCGAGGTCGTGAACGCCTGAGCCACGCCACTGGAGTTGACGAAGGCAACCAAAGCCTGGGTACCCACCATTCTTGGTCCACCGGGATTGATCCCCCACGCCGACCAGTGTGACGAGGTGGTGCCGGTGTGCCGGTAGGCAACCTCAACTGTCTCGGCCGATTCATCATATGTCCAGTGGAGGTAGCTGTTCAAAGCTGGAAGATCGCTGCAGTTGGCGTATTGCCTGTTGTTGGCAAATGTTTGGGAAAGACAGGTTTGGGCAGAGGACGATGAAGCCAAGACAAAAAACAGCAGCCATGAAAACAGGACAAAGTTGCAGGCTTTGATCTGCATCTTGAAACAGAATCACCTAACCTACCTTGGAGACAGAAACAAGTTTCCAGGGGGAAAAAATTCAGAAAAATTGTTTCTTTATTTTGTTAAGTCCTTTGGGAACTCCATAACACACATACACTCACACACATATATATATATATTCTGTATGTAATAGAGACAAAAAGGAGAGCAGATTGTAGTGTGTGAAAGAGCTTGTATTCTTTGACTAATTTAATTTATATTAGTTGGTCATGATATAATTAAACTTGGTCTTGATTTCCATTTATAAAACGTGCTTTCCTTTTGGTGGTTAAAACAAACGATGAAGCATATTTCTTCTTTTTCAGATGCAAATTGCATTGTCTTTGGTACTAAAATACAAGAAAACAAAATTGTCATATTTCAAATTTATGATTTGAATTCATTTTTTTAATGTTGATTTTTATTGCGGAAATTATATTATAGAAAAATTAAAATATCAGTATTGAAACAGTCCAATTGAAGATGATGTATAAAAGGTTGTTGGTTGTTTGCTGTTCATTTGAATTAATGTAAAATATTGGAAGAACATAGAGAAGAAGACAGCAAGAGATGTTTCCCATTGACTTAGCTGCATTTGGCAATCAAAGGTAGGGATGTAAATGAGACGAGACAGATCGTGAGCCACTCGAGATCGATTCGGTCAAGGCTCGATAAATACTCGGATCGAATGGACTCGACTCGAACTCGATCTCGACTCGAATTCTTAACGAGCCGAAACGAGCTACTTGATACTCGACTCGAAAAGCTCGAGAGTAGCTCGAAAATATAATATATTAAGATTTTATTTTTTTTTAAATAAATTATTAATAATATTAACATTTATGTGTTGATTTTTTTTAAAAAATACAATAAGGTTTTCATGTATTTAAGTTTAGTTTGAGAATTCAATCTTGTTAAGTTTAAGATTTTTTTTTTCATTTCGAGTCTTTTCGAGCTGCTCACGAGCTTCAGTTCAGGATTTCGAGTTCGAGTCGAGCTTAAAAATTTTAAGCTCGCGAGTTTTCGAGTCGAGTCGAGCTCAGCAATACTCGAGCTCGACTCGGCTCGTTTACACCCCTAATCAAAGGGAACAGATCTATGTTCACGTTTGATTATCTCAAGGTTTCGGGTAAATTACCCATTTAGTTATCTACATATTCTAGTATTTATGTTTTGGTTACTCGATTATTTTCTTTAAAGATTTTGTATAACGGGTTTTTTTTGTTTTAACCATTTTTCATTAGGTTTGATTGTTGACTTAATAGATATGATAATGTGATATAGTATGATATAGTTTTAGCCCGTAAAATTTGCATTTTTATCAAGTTGATCTTAATTCGAAATCATTTAATAAATCCTTAATATTTAAAAATCCTTAATAAAAAAAACTCATAGAGTGACTTCACTAATCAAGTTGAGGTCATAGATTCAAATAGTCAGCGACGGATTCAAAAATATTTTTTAGGTTGAGTATATATATATTAACAATATAATTTTTTTGAATGGGATAGACAAAGATAAAATTTTAGATGAATATTATTAATAAAAGTAAGTGGCTAACCAATTTTTGTTAACATGTGGTTCTCCCACTACGAGCAGCTACATCTGTATGGTGTATTATAAATGATTAAGAAAGATTATAAACAATATTATCTTATAGTCACCCCAAACTATCAATGGTAATATTTGTTAAAAAATAACTCTCAATCGTTTGACGTTAAATGTTCACACCCATAGCATTTCCGATGCTCAAAACCGAGACCTCAAAGAATAACAACAATTATTTTACCACTAAATTCGCCTGACTTTGTGCAAGTGATCATGAATATAGAGTACCCAGTAAATAAATAAACCACCGTGCCTTGACTTGGGAAAAGGTCTATGCCGATTCCCGCCGGCTAAATTCGGCATTTTCTTTATTGACGCTTATTTTGTACAATTCGTTTATAAATGATTTCTTGTTACATATAGCTATGTGTTCAGTAATTCAATACCTTGTTGTCTTGTTTGACCAAAACAATGCAGCTGCCGTCTCCAGTTAGGCCTCCGCCTACGTGTCGTTTTCTTCACTGGCCGGAAGCGTTTCGGACACCGCCCATTGTGCCAGTGGCCATCTACATTCTCACACACAAGGATGGACCGAGGGGTACTGGTAGAGATTTTAAATTCTTTTATATTTTAATTTTTTTATATTTTATATTAATTATCTAATTTCACACCCTTATAATTTTTAATATTCGCACTTCTTAAAACAAATTGTAGAGTAAATTCCTGCGTCCCTGCTCACACATCTCGTTTTGTTCAACCGTAAAACCTGAAAAATAACGGCTCAAAGCATCATTCATTATCCGCTGTAATTAACACTCATCACATCATTTTATCATGTCATTGGTATAGTTAAATATAACAATCTACAAAATATGATGACATAAAAAAAGTGAAGAGTCACTTATGTAATTACTAACCAACATATTAGCATATTGGGTACAGTAAAAAATTAGTCTCTCAATTATAGGGAATTACTTTATTGAATCCCCCAACTATTTAGTTAAAAATGATCTCTAATTATAGGATGTTGCTTTTGTTGAGTTTCTTGACTATTAAAAGTTACAAAATTACTACATGATTATTCATATATTACAAACTTATCATTTTTTGTTAAAAATTGATAAAAGAATTTGAACTGGATGTTAACTAGTTGACTGATATATAATAGTAGCTTGAGATTTTGAGATCAACTTTTATCATTTTACAGTTAACAAGTTAATGTCCAGCTAAGCCTGACGTCAATTTTTTAACAGAAAATGATGAGTTTGAAATATATGAATAATCAGGTAATCATTTTATAACTTTTAATAGTCGGAGACTCAACAAAGCAATACCCTATAATCAAGGAACCATTTTGCAATTATTAATAGTCGAAAGACTCAACAAAACACCTCCCTATAGTCGAGGGATCATTTGTGTACTCTACCCTAGTATATTTTAATTTAAAATGTAATTGTATAAAAAGTACAAATAGTTCAAATAAGAAAACAAACGTATTTTATAATTTAAATAAACAGTTACCTTCAATAATTTTTAAGATGGTATAGTTTAAGCCGTTTCTCCTATATTTCTTGTTGATTCATCCAAACGACACTGCTTCATAAAACCTTTACCAATATTTTAACAAATTCGTGTTGTTACATCATATTTAAAGTATTTTATATTTGTGTAGATATTCTAAAACGTTAAAAATTCCTATTATTAATATAATTTTTATTGCACTCTCGATTTTGTTTTCTTAAATAATTTGAATCAACTTGTGTCACACATTTAGTTTTGGTACGTGAGTCTATCGGATGCAAAATCTCGAAGTCAAAATCTAATTAAACGATATCAAACGACTTACTTGAACCAACCCTGGTTAATTAGATTGTATAATAGTATTGCTAGTTTTTCGGTTTTACCTATTAGGTTGGAAACGAAAATGGTAAGACCTGGGAATATGTATATGAACCAACTGTTGGTCCCATTCGCATCCATTAGCAAACCCTAGTATTCAACCATATAGCCATGGCTAAAACCTCTATTATAATCTTGCTGCTCTGCAGTTTAACATCTCTGGTTTCCATTTCCAAAGCTGAAACTTGCTCGAACTACTCATTCCCAAGCAACCAAGTCTTCGATTCCTGCATGGATCTCCCAGTTCTTCAAGCATCGTTACACTGGAACTACAGCCAACTCACCACAAAGGTTCAGATCGCATACAGAGCCATCCAGATTCCCAGGGGATGGATTGCGTGGGCGCTGAACCCCACGGGAAGAGGCATGATCGGTTCTCAAGCCCTGCTCGCCTTCCGACACAGCAATGGCAGCATGATCGCTTACTCGACTTCCATCGCAAGCTACAACCCTTCGATGCTACCGTCCGAGCTCAGCATTCCGGTTTCTGACATCTCGGCGGAGTATGTCGACAAACAGATGATTGTATTTGGTGTGTTGGGGCCGTTGGGGAATCAAACGAGTTTCAACCATGTGTGGCAAGGTGGGAGTACGGTTTCGGACAACATTCCTCAGGTTCATCCGTTGTCGGGTCAGAACGTTGAGTCACTCGGACTCGTCAATTTCTTGTCATCTTAGGGACAAATCTGAAAGAAACATGTTTCGGTTATTGAAATTGTAAGTTTCTGAAATTTTCAGACACATCAAAAAAAGTTTTACCTGGTTGGTTCTTGGTGGAAGTTGATCGCCCTTCACTTTACTGCTCCCACTAACTAGATTTTAAGCAAATGTTATAAGATGTAATTCTAGTTTCCTTCATTAATAAAGACGTTGGAGAAACGATAGAGAAATTTAAAAAAACAATATATGATTAAATAGATTTGTATTCGACGGATTTCGATCTAATTCGATTCAATGAAGTAGGGTTTTTATATATAAAATCAGATTTTAGATAAGTTAAGATTATAAAATACTCCTCCCGCTCAACCCAATATAATTATAAAAAATATTCTTTTATGTATTTATATATTATTAACTAGTATCAACAGAAGTTGGTTAAGTGTTAAGTAGTTTGATATCACTTAAACAATGTCTTAGGTTCAAGTCATTGTGTATACAAAAAATTCATATTGAAAGACTTACCCGTCAAAACCGATGTGTGTCCCGGATCGATCCAGATTAGTCGACAAAACTTTGAAATTGCTGAGTTCACCTTTATTGGCGTGAGTGGATGGGCAAATGGGGCAAAAGGAACAAAACATGTATAATTTTACTTGGAGTAATAATTAATCCACAATCATGAAAGGGAAAGTGGAGAGAATGCTCTAATCATTCACATGCTGATCTCTATAGCTTAGCTTCAAAGCCAAGAAGAAACAATTTTCAACCAAATATCTTGAAATTTTAGTTAATTAAGGTAATTGTTTGATAAATTTCATTATAAATGGATAAAGATAAAAAAATCAATTTTAATGGAGTCTTTGCTTCAAAGCAAAGCAGTTCCACAATCATTACAGACCAATCTCATGAATGTTAAAACCAAAGCTTCCTTCCGACAATCAGCCCTGTCCGATTCCACAACCATGATTTTTGTCTTGTTCCTTTTCCTTTCCATTTCCCATCTGACCACTGCATTTTCATCTCACTGCAGCACCGTCACAGCAACCAAAACTTTCAAAAAATGCATGCCACTCCCCACACAACAAGCCTCCATTGCTTGGACATTCCATCCCCACAATGCTACGTTGGACCTTTGTTTCTTTGGCACTTTCATTTCGCCTTCCGGTTGGGTCGGGTGGGGGATCAATCCCACGTCCCCGGAGATGACCGGTACGCGTGCTCTTGTCGCGTTTCCGGATCCTAATTCTGGGCAGTTAGTACTGCTGCCTTACATTCTAGACCCGTCTGTGAAGCTCCAGAAATCTCCGCTCCTCTCTCGACCGCTTGACGTCCACTTGATTTCTTCTTCGGCTACGTTGTACGGTGGCAAGATGGCTACTATACACAATGGTGCCACAGTTCAAATTTATGCCACGGTGAAACTCGTACCGAACAAGACCAAAATTCACCATGTTTGGAACAGAGGATTGTATGTCCAGGGCTACTCCCCGACCATCCATCCCACCACATCGAACGACCTTTCCTCAATAACTACGTTCGACGTCTTGTCCGGTTCAGCCGCTACACAACACAACAACATGGATATGATGAAACTCATCCACGGAATCCTTAACACCATCTCCTGGGGAATATTACTCCCGATGGGAGCCGTCATGGCTCGTTACTTACGGCACATACAAGCTCTAGGACCTACATGGTTTTACGTCCATTCGGGGATCCAGTTATCGGCATTTTCCTCGGAACCGTGGGGTTTGCAATAGGGATCAAGATGGGAGAAATGTCACCAGGAGTGACGTATGGACTCCATAGGAAGCTCGGATTCGCAGCGTTTTGCTTGGGAGCTCTTCAAACACTAGCTCTGCTGTTTAGGCCAAAGACCACACATAAATTCAGGAAGTACTGGAAATCTTACCACCATTTTGTAGGGTATTCGTGTGTGGTTCTTGGGTTGTGAATGTATTCCAAGGCTTCGAAGTAATGGGGGAAGGCAGGTCCTATGCGAAGCTGGGTTATTGCTTGTGCTTGTCGACATTGGTGGGTGTTTGTATAGCTCTAGAAGTGAATTCTTGGGTGATATTTTGCAGGAAATCTAAAGAAGAAAAGATGAGGAGAGAAGGGCTGATTTATGGGTCGGATAAAGGTAATGGAATACACAGTGGAACCCATAGTGGAGTCCTCAGCTAAATAAATGGACACCCAAAACAGAAGAAGGAAGATTGAATACCAGATTAATGGTTCTCTAAGCATTAGGTTTGGAGTTCAATCTTTTTATGATATCAACAGGTTTCCAGTTGTTGTTTCCATGGACAAATATACATAATGAAATACGTTGCTTCGCAAAGCAACAAGTTTTTGTTCTATGCTTCTATGTAAAGTTGAAGCAAATTTTGATTTTCGATGAGATTTTTGGTTTTGGTTCATACTTTTCAATGAGAAGTTTCAAGCATGTTTTTGGTATCAAGCATGATATCAAGAGGTTTGTAGTACTCGTTTTGTTTAGTTGGAACATTTGGCAACTACAAACTCTTCAAAAGAGCCGATAGTACCAAACCCCAGTTTTCTTCATTAAGATTGCCGGCAAAACCCCGGCCCATCGACGGCGTGAAAGATGAAGCATCGACGGTGGATGCTTCCAACCAGAACAGTCACAATCATTTAAATAATTGGCTCATGCATTTTCTTTTCAAAGTAATGGGCTAAGTTCTTACAAAGGGGTATATTGTCCCCATTAGTTTCCTCCCCTATTATTGTTGGATTAATACAAAAATAAGTGTCTAAAGAATATCTCGAAAAACGTTTTAGTATCTAATTTTTTTATTATTAAAAATAGGTGTCTACCGTTAAATGACATGTGTCACATCCATATTTTTTAAAAAATATGGATGTGACGCGTCACTTGCCTAGTTTTTTAACGGTAGACACCTAAAAGTACAGCGAAGAAAATTTTAGACACTTATTTTTAACGAAAAATTCTTTAGGCATCAAAAGTTAATTGAGTATAGTTTAGACACTTATTTTTATATTAAGTCGTCATTATTAATGGTAAACATTTTTTTAATAGGAGTAGATTTGTTTAGAATTTTCTTAGTTTACCGATAACATACACATCGTGCAGATGTATTTGCTCGAACCCGAATCCTTGAAAAAGAATACCATTTCCCATTATCATTAAGTCCCTCAATGGGCTCAAAGAAGTGAACAACTTTAAACACATTTTATAGGGATGAAAATGGTTAGGAAGGGTTCATCCCTTTTGGGTTTATTAGATAATCTAGAGAACATCTACTTGAGGAAATGGCAGGTTGAGATTGAATAAGAGATTATTTTAGATAAAGCTGCAAGCCAAATGGTCAAACATTATTATAATCTAAAAGCATTGTTCATAGTTGAATGCAGCAGGGGAACAACTTGGATCATGCTACATATCGCCCAAGCCATTCATTTGGCAATTTGCAAATATTTAAACCTTATTCTCTGCCAAATTGGCACCTAAAACAGGGACTGCAAGCCTGATTCGAACCTGATTCTAATCAATGGCCATCGTGCATGAAAGAGTAAGCAACTTGACATTGTAGATTGAATATAACAAACAAAAGCAGCAAACGCATAACTAATTATGAACACGGTTTCCGTATTTCGTGTCGAAAGCAACTAAAACCATTCATTTCAGTATTTCAAAAGAAAGCTTCAACCCTGTTAGAACAAAAGTTTCAAAGGTCTTATTCGGAGGAACCCTAAATGGGTATACCTTTCAATGTTTCACACTGATAAATGAACAAGAATCTCTCAGGTACATTCTGGCTGAAAGACAAGCCCAAATAATGGAAGGAAAGGAAAAACAAAACAAAGCATAGCATAGCTGACAAGAACCCACAGCTTTACTAGAGCCATTACAGAAATTTAAATCTAATGGGAAAAAGTAGTTTATAATTGTTATGCATCACCAGCCTTGCATGAGATGCATGGTACGTCTTCTGACTATATCCCGGAATCTGATTTTACATCTCACTCGAATACCAAAAATGAACCCTAAAAACATAAAACTCAAGCCTTAACATAACCCCTTATGATCCCTAACTCTAAGAATGTATTGCTCCAAAAACAGGCACTTCATTTAGCTACAGATAACCAACTCTCTTAAAACTGAAACATATTGATTAACGTGGGAAATGAGCAGAACTCACGGATTGCTTGCGTTACAAGTTATCTCCGGCCTATAATACTGAGAACCGAGTTAATCTTCTAGGTGACAATTCCTGAACCAAGACAAGATCAAAATCAATCATTATAAAGAAACTAAGTATTTATAACAATGTTTTTGGGAGTACTCTAGGATCAAGTCTTACCTCTAGTTGATTGTCCCTTATTAACACTGTAACCACCAACATAAGCAGGAGAACTTTACCCGGAACATCAGAAGTGGTACTAACAAGTCCATAACCATCTAGCTCAGATGTTGATGATGGCCAATTGGTATCCCCATAAAATGAAGCGCCACCATAAACATCTGCAAAGGCTCCATCATAGCCACTATTTGATGCTTCATATGATGATGTTGGCACCACATTAGTCCCATTGTTTCTCTCATACCCTGCAGTCCCCAACCCGAAGTTGTTAAGCCTGTTATAACCACTTCCATAACCGTAATTCACACTATTGCTAGAAACATTATTCCTTCCACCTTGACTGGAAATTAGAGAAGAACTCCAATTAATTCCACCATCTCCAAAGGCACTTGCTGCTATACTCCCACTTCCAGATCCTGCATAGGCACCGGAACTAGCAGCATTTGCAATATAATTGAGCCCTCCATTTCCCCAAAGATTCCGGGTCACTGAGCTGAAAAAGGAAGTATTACCCCCACCTCCATTACTTCCATCATACCCAATAGGACTACCAAACCTATTTGTATTACCAATATAATAAGGGCTCATTCCTCGTCCGTAGTTACTAAAATGTGTACCGTTTCCAAAACTTGGGTTCAACCCTGGCTCAAAGTTCATGCCCATTCCAAAATCAGAACCAAAAGGAGGAAACCCACTTCGACCACCAGCAACTGGACTGAATCTACCATCCATCCCAAGTCCATAGGCTCCAAGGCTATTAGGATTATATCCCTGAGTGTAGCCGTGGAGAAAGTTGTTGGCCCTATTCAAACCATAGTTATATACATCAAGAGGGCTACGGGTCGGGCCAGGCGATAACTCTTTAGGAACTGCTCGTTTAACCTCAACCATTTTACCATTCAGTTCATGGAAATTCTTTAGCAACACTTTATCCACTGCCTCTTCTGAATCATAAGTGATGAATCCGAAACCCCTAGGTCTTTGAGTGTTGTGATCATACATCACTACAACGTCTGTGACATTCCCAAACTGATCAAAATACTTCTTGAAGTCACTCTCTGTGACTGTAGAAGCTAAACCTCCTACAAAAATTTTTCTTGTGCGCCCTGGACCAGGTGAACCCTGGATGCTACTAGTACTTCTACTCATAATGTTCTGGTCATCCCTAGGAACTGCCTTTTTAGCCTCAACCTGGGCACGAGTAACTCAATGATGAAAATTAATCCTTTAGAGCAGAAACTTTATCATCTCAATATACATGTTTATTCTAAATTACAAGAATTACAATCATAATCACCATCTTTGTGAAAAGATAAATAAGATGAAGCATGAAACCGTTACACTCAGCTTGGTTTTGAAAATTAGCAGGACACAGAACCAGAACTATATGAATTCCAGCAACTACAAGATCAGGTTCATAAACTCGATATGGAATTGATTTTTTCCTCTCATTACTTCAGAAAGCTAATAGCACCAATGAATAGTACATTGGGCAATATTCATATAAAGAGGTTTGCTTAAAATTAAAGACCAACAACTTACCATCCTGCCATCAATATTGTGTTTCTCCTTGATGACTTTCTCAGCAATGGCTGGGTCAGAAAAAACTATGAAACCGAAACCTCGAGCACGTCCTGTGGTCCGATCCTTCATAATCACTGCATCTACCACTTCACCAAAACTGCTGAAATACTCCTTGAGGCGCTCTTCATTGGTGTCCCAAGATATTCCACCAATAAATAGCTTACCGTTCTCAGACATCTTTCTCTGCATTACAGAAAAACTAGTTTGATCAATACAAAGTCCAAACCATCTGCAAATCTAAACCAAAAACAAACTTTAACGGTCAAATTCATTTCTGGATCGAATGCAATATAGAAAAATTTCATTCCAACAACAACAATAAACCAATCAAAAACCAATCCCATATGAATCAAATTAACAATATCAAATCAAAATCATGTCTTTTATCGACTATGGCAATCTAATTACAATAATGCAGATAGAATTCAATACCTTTTATTTAATAAAAAGTGTAATCCGATACAAGAAGAAAAATTCTCTCCGATTCAAAGCTTAAAACAAACAGATCCTTCGATGGTCAACAAACCTAACAACCCAGAATTTAGCTTCACCTGGAATTCAGAAATGAAAGAGGCAAAAAATCAAAACCCAGATTGATGATCAATCAGAAACCTGATATTAGCTGTAAAAATTTATTGGAAATTTAAGCAAAAGATTTAGAACACAAATCCAGATTCATCAAAACAAAGAAAGAAACCCACCAATCAAAGCAAACCCAACTATCAAATCTTGCCAAAAAACTAAGATCTGAAAGGAGGCACAATAAGAATAAGAATAGAGGAGGTTAATTTCATCCTCTTTGTTCCCTTCTACTTGCCTTCCCCCTCCAAATAATATTTCCTTCTTCCAATTTTATTCTGTCCTTTCTTATAGTAAAAATCTCAAATTTTAACACCCAAAATGTAAATTCAATTAAAACAAATGTTCATATAAATAATAAATTTGTAGTTTTGTAATATAAGAAAGCAAATTTGTTTGGAAAGAGAAAGAGGAATTTTTTTGTTGTTGAGATTTTAGAGACTATATATTATATAGCCATGTCTAGAAAGCCTCTTAGAAATAGAATGGAAGACATACCTTTATTCTTTCTTTTTCTTAATTATTTTTATATTTATGGAGTTTGATTTGAAAATATTTTTATGCTAATCTTTTAAAAACATATTTATAATCTAAAATATTTTTTATAAGAAGGGGTGAGAGATTATTTGAGATTTAATATCAATTCATATTAAATTAGTATCGCTTTTATATTAAAAAATCTTATAAACCAACTTACTTTAGTTGTTAAATGAATCGTTGTTGTTTCTAGATGTCATTGGTTCAAGTAACAGTAGCAGGATGATTGAACATTTATTATCAAATGGTTAAGAGTATTTATAGCAGATACTACTTTATAATCACTTTAGCTTAATCAAAAATTAATTAAGAAAAAAATTACAATTATATTTTTCTGTATATCAATTTTTTTATTTTTTTATTTAAAGTTAAAATAAATAAATTTATGAAATGCATGTTAATTAATATAAAATTTGCAAATTATATGAATTATTATAGAATTTATTATTTTAAATACCAACTACTTTTTTTAGAAGAGAAAATAACCTCAGTGGTCGAAAATTCCTTATAATATACGATTTTGAACAATTTTTTTTCGATTTGCCAAAATGACCAACAAAATCGCAACGCGATCTCCAGTATCGCAAATAAGTTTCCAGATTCGCAACGCGATTTTGACTATCGCATTGCGATTTAAATCGCAATGCGATTTTCAAAGCGCCATTAGTATCGCAACGCGTATTTTATTTTCAAATTCCAAACACGAATATTAATATATCCCGTAATCGTAACTCTTAACCTAAAACCCTAAATCACAACTCACTCCCATCTTCATCTCCCACTCTCTACGGCGACATCTGTCCCCATCTCCGACGAAATCCATCCTCATCTCCGGCGAAATCCGTATATCTCCATCTCTCAGAGCCACCCTCACAATCATTCACGATCAGAAATGGAAAATCAACCAAATCAACCACCGATGGTTAGTTTTTTTAATTATTTTTATTTTAAAATTTTTGCATAATTATTAGGTTTTTCATATTGAAATTGATGATAAGTTTACTGGTAATTTCAATAATAGATTAACCATTTCACTTAGATTGCTTATTAAATTCATTCGATTACTGCCAATACTGCTAAACTGTTTAGTCTTTAACCCTGTAAAGTTAGTATTTGTCTTTGTTTTGTCTTTTGGTTGAAGTGATGCAATTCATTCAAGTTTCAATTTTAGACAATAACTATTTGAAACCGAGGATCGCAACGCGAAATGAAAATCGCAACGACAAAATCGCGTTGCGATTATCTCGTTGCGATAGTCATTTTTGTGTTGCGATTTTCATTTTCGTGTTGCGATTTTAAGTTTCATAAACTATTATTCTTCTGCAAATTGAAACTTGAATGAATTGCATTAATTCAACCAAAAAACAAAGGCAAATACGAAATTCACAGTGTTGCAAATTTAAGTTTGAAGAATAAACTACTACTACTCTTTATGTTTATTATTGTTTTTGGTATATCTTCACAGTGTAGTTTTTGGTATATCTAACTTGGTATGTTTATTGTTTTTATAGAAATATTTTTCGGCTCAATTGATCTTAAGGAATAAAATAAGCCTAGTCATTACAATTGCGTCGAAGCTTTCACCTGTACAAAGAAAATTGTTTGAGGATACTTGCTTCGAGCTATGGCTGAAAGTACAACATCCGGGTGGAGATGCTATGTTGACCCATTTGTGGCTTCAGACCATGACTAGCGATCTACCCGAGAGTATAAAACGTGGTAATAAAGAGATATGGTTTCATTTTCCACCGGCGTATACGTATTTTGGGCGGGAGGAGTTTTTCTTAATCACTGGTCTACGCTTCGGACACGATGATGTAGGTCGATACACTAGTCATATTACCCGCCCATCATGGTTATCTCGGGTTTTTCCTGAGCTATCAATGGAGAAGGTGAATTTACACGTCGACGACTATACGAGATTATTGAATAAGAAAGATGGTTTTACTCGGATGGATGACGTCGATGTTGTCCGAGTATGCCTTTTAGTACTTTTGCATACCGGCTTTTTAGGCAGAGAGGCCAGACAACCTATTCCTAAGGACCTAATATTATTGGTAGAGGACCTAAATGCATGAAACCTGTTTCCGTGGGGTTCTTATCTATGGAAAGTTACCTGGAATAAGTTGTCGTCTGCCTTTGATGACCGTAAAAGTTTGCGTAGCGATGGTTCCAAATACACTTTGTCAGGCTTTATTTGGGCCTTTAAGGTAAGAATTTCTATATAATGTTTCCAAAATTATAATTAATTATTTAACAATTACTAATGTTATTGTATTATATTGTTTGTAGATTTGGATATTTGAGGCTTTTCCTGACATACAGACATATGCATTAAAAACTTCAAATGATATTCCTAGAGCTATTTCCTGGAAGAAGAAACGGTGGTTGTTGATTTGGGAAGAGTTACTACGGTATACGACAATAAATGATGTAAATTAACACAAATACTACCATATATAAACAAGTTATTACTAGTACACGTTTAACTTTGTTTGAGCTTTTATATTGTTAGGAGGCCAACACTCCATTACAGAGGTTGACACCCACGGAGGCTGAGCTTGCCACTGATTGGTGGCAAGCTAGTAAGCATTTTTTTGATGGCACGGATGATGAGCAGCCTCCACTTCGAGAGCCATCATCTCACCCAGAGCCATCACCTGATCGACCACACTATACACCTCTATAACGAGAGTCATCACCTATTCCGTCACATCATCGAGCCTCTTCTTCACCATCACCTCATGATAGGCGACCGACAAAGATGCCACGACATTTATCTCCCTGTTCTCTACCTCCACAGGATGAGTTAGGGGAGTTACGTGATGAGGTCAATGCCTTGCGTGAGGAGGTCGGTACTTTACGCGATGACAATGGTGTATGGCATGATGAGGTATCTACTTTACGTGGTGAGGTAGCGGCTCTACGTGAGATGGTAGCATCGTTGCAGAATGAGGTTCATACTCTACGCAACGAGGTAAGTTTAAGATTTTTCATATTTAACTTGATTTACTCGTAATTTCACTTAGATTAACCATTTCACTTAGATTGCTAAGTAAATTCATTCGGTTGCTGCCAATACTGCTAAACAATTCTAAAATAACCCTGTGAAGTTAGTATTTGTCTTTGTTTTTTCTTTTGGTTGAAGTAATGCAATCCATTCAAGTTTCAATTTACAGATGAAGAATAGTCGCAACACGAAACTTAAAATTGCAACGCGAAAATGACTATCGCAATGGGATAATCGCAATGCGAAATAAAAATCGCAACGTGAAAATCGCAATGCGAATTTAGTTTCGCGTTGCGATTTTTTCGCATTGCGATTATCTTGTTGCGATATTCAAATTCGCGTTGCGATAGTCATTTTCGCGTTGCGATTTTAAGTTTAGTGTTGCGATTTTAAGTTTCAAAAACTATTCTTCTTTTGTAAATTGAAACTTGAATGGATTGCATTACTTCAACCAAAAGACAAAGACAAATACTAACTTCACAGTGTTGCAAATTTAAGTTTCAAGAATAAACTACAACTCTTTATATTGTCCTTGAACATGCACTAAACCTATATGTTGTCCTTTTAAATGTTTATATAAGTGCTTACTTCTGGAATGTTATCTGATGCATGTTGTGAACTATGATAGAATAATGACTTGGGTGAATACCATGCAAGTTTGAAACATATTTGTCTTTGTTTTCACTGTTTAATATCATGTATGTTTATTTATTGATTTATGTATTAATTTATTTTTAGCGGCCCGATAAGGTGGATGCTTTACGTAGGGTTTTTCTTGCACGACGGGGTTTACGCATCAGACGGCGTGCACGTGTCATTACGTCTCCGTTCACCCCAATAGTGCGAAGACTCCGTAAGAAGAAGCCCGACTCACCTGTCATCGTTCAAGAGGCCTCTCCTATCATTCAAGAGGCCTCTCCTATCGTTCAATAGGCCCCTATCATCCCTCAAGAGTACCCTCTCATCATTCAAGAGGCCCCTGTCATCGTTGAAGAGGTCCCTCCCACCATTCAAGAGCCCGATTCACACGGTGTAATATGTCGAATTATTGAGAAACCCTCTCACGTGCCGGACATGATGGATGACTGTTGGCTTTCGTATGAGTTACCGGCCAGTACCATTCCGGCAGATGAAGTGGAGAGGAAAAAACAACCGGAAATAATTATGGATAATACCCTTTGGGCTAAGACCGCAATTGATTTTTATCTACATGAGCGGAGCCAGGGGTGTTATGCTGACATATACAAACTCAACGATGATATACATTTGTTGATTGATCGGTTTTTGTGGGGTGTGTTATTAGGGGTTGAAGACAAAGGCTATTTCGATGGGGGTAAGTCTTATATTTTTCTTATATTTCATTTTGATTACTTTTTTTAAAATTTATGTAATTAACTAATATATGTCTTTTTTTGTAAAACAGCATATTGATGTATGGGTGTCACGTCTTCTAATGATAAGGAAAATGAGGAAAAATAAAAAAAATACGCGATATACAATTATGCCGATGTCTTTTCACGTAGTTCACTTGAAGAATCAATGACAGGAATCATATGTGTTGGCTAATGGACAAGCTAAACTTTATCCTGCATGGTGGGAGGTCGATAAGGTTAGTATTTATTTTTTAAATATTTTAAAGGTGTTCATAAATAAGTGCGCAATTGAATTATTACTTATGATTGCAGGTGTTTATCCCTGTTTTAGAACGTACTCATTGGCTTCTCGTCGAGCTTCAGCTTCCATCCCTGAAGACAATAGTATATGACAGCATGATAAATTACATATCATTGTCTGATTTGAGAGATATTATTAAGGGATGGA